GGGCTGCCCCCCGTCGTAGGGAGGGCCAGGCCGGTGCCCACTCCATTATGCTGGGGTGGTCTTGAGACGGGGGCTACCCTGACGGAGACCACGGCAACACAACTGAAATAAATGCTCGCCGCCTGGAGTTGGTGTGAGGTTGAAAGATCACCTTCCACACAAAGGCCTGTGGGGCCCGGTGGTCAGCACACTAATTGAAAGGGCAGCGGTTTGAACCCGCCAACCGCTCTGTGGGAGGAAGATGGGCAATTTGCTCCCGGTTTTCCAACGGAGGCTCGCCGTATAAAGTCAGGATGAGCGTGACAGCTCTGCCTGCCTTCTGTGCCTGTATCACTCAGTCATGTGCATTACCGCAAAGTGGAGAGAGGCAAGGGGTCAGGGAGGCATGGGCCTGAAGTCTGTCCTGTCCAGCGTCCTCCCTGCCAAGGGGCACACACACCACGCTGGACATTTGGGTGCTTTGGGGAAGCAAGAGTGCTGGGTCTTCTACCAGCCCAGCCCTAGCTCTCCGGTCCCCACGCTGTTCTCAGTGACCCAGAATAAAGCCGGGAGGGTGGGCAGGCTGAGGCCACTTAACAGCTAATTCAGTGGGCAGGAGACAGAAAGCAGAGGCTGTGGTGGCCTGCTGAGCCATGGAGGGGCTGGAGGGCGTGGGGCAGGACAGCAGGGTGGGAGGCAACCACCAGGCCCTTGGTCAAGGAAGGCTCAGGGTTAGAAGTCATTGGATGGCCACAAGATGCTTAATGTTCTCTAGATGAAAATGCCCAGTGTGTTCACTTAAAAGATTTTTCTCGAAGGGCTCAAGGCTCCTCCTCTCCCAGTACATGCCTGTCTTTGCTGAAGTTCTGAGTTGATGGGGAAACTGAGGTACAGGGTCAGGAAGCTTCTTGTCAAATCTGCCAGGACTGTCCTCATATCTGCCAGAAACTGGACCTTTGTGTGCATGGGCGTGAGGAGCTGCCTTGACGCAGTCTGGTCCTGCCCCCCTCTGTGTACCTGTCCCCCCTGCACGAGGGGGTCATCCACCCCACTTCCACCCCAGTGGGGGCCCCTCTGGTGTTCAGCAGCCCATGCCAGGCCACGTCCCCCAACTCAATGCCATTACACGTCGACCTTGGGGTCACTGAGTTTACAGCATACAGAAGAGTCAATAAAGTAATCCATACATTTTTGTTTGTTTCCTAATGCAAATAATGACAGAAGAGTTGTGATGTTGGAGAAGAGTACTGAACATACCATGGACCGCCAGGAGAACAGATAGGTCTGTCTTGGAGAGGATGAAACCAAATTTCTCTTTGAAGGCAGGGATTCTGAAGCTCCGTCTCATACTTTGGGCATGTGGCCAGGTGGGACCAATCCTTGGGGAAGGATATTATGGTTGGAAGGGTGTAGGGACAGCACAGGAGAGGACGACCCCAGATGAGATGGATTGACACAGCCACTGGGGCAACAGGGCAGTGGTGGGGGTAGGTGTGTCGTAGTCAGTGAGACTGGCTCAGGATAGTACAGGGTTCAGAGCCATTGTACATAGGGTCACTACGAGTGATGGGCAATTCGATGGCACATAACAACAACAATGCACATAAAAGTTATGCGGGCCTTATACTATCGTTTGTGAAATATGTAATAAAATGTTGTAAAAGTATGAAGTGTTTTGACAGACCAAAATGTGACATAGACTCGATGTGAACTCAGGTTGTTGGGGGAAACAGTGCCCACAGAACTGCTCGAGGCAAGGTGGCCAGATCCCTGGGTTTGGAAGGAACCCTTTATCAGCAAGGAGCAGTGACAGGCCTGTGATCACTCCAGGGACCTGTGCTTCCAGCTTCCAGGCCCTTCTTCCTTCTGCTGGAGTCAAAGTCCCCTGTGGTCAGGAAGTGGTCATGGGGACTCAAAATCCAAAGTGGGTTTCCAGATGAAATCCAGGACAGACAGTTCAATCAGAATATCTGATAAACAATGCACTTTCCTCCCGTAAGTGTGCCTTATTTCATAAGACATCTTTACATTAAAACGAGTACGCATGACAACGGAAATTCAAATTTAACTAGGCACTCTAGATTTGCATTGGTTAAATATGGCAACTCTAGGTCCCCAGTACCTTGGATCTTCTTCTCCCGGTCCTGAGCCCGAGTGGGTGGGGGCAAGCAGCAGGGAGCCCAGGACTAGAAGGGAAACAGAGGGCTTGGCGCTGGGGGCCTGTCCCCCCCGCCCCGAGATGCAGTCCCATAAGATTATTTTGGAGAAAAGTAAATCCATTTGGGTTTCCAAGAGTGCAGAGAGGACTGGCCTCTTTCTCTCTCTAGCCTTGGCCTTGCTAAGAGAGGTCATGACCCTTTCTTTTTGAAGATGGAGGGTGATCAAAAGAGCAGCCAGGCTCTGAATGAGAAAGTTCACCCCCATAGGAACTGGGGCCATCACACTCTCCCCAGCCTTGTCTCTCCCACCACTACCAGGGCCCTCATTGCTCTGTGAGCCTCTGACATATCATCTCAGGCCTGTGAGCAGGGGACCGGTGGGACAGTCAGTGGGCAGGCTGAGCAGACAGCTTGGGTCTAGAAGCAGGCAGTGTGGCACTGGTCAGCGTGTGAGGCTTCATTCTCCTGGACCTCACTCTCACCCTGCAGGGCGGCCCAGTGTTCACAGGGACATACCCCCTGAGGCCACCATCGCCCCTGGGGACAGAGCACCTTGGGCATTCCACTGGGTCTAGGCCCAGGCCAGGCCGGATAGTCGCTCTTCCTGACCTACCCCTTACCGCCTCACTGCTGGCCCACTTCCACCGTAGCTGCTGCCCTGTGCTCAGGAACCTGTCCTGAGAGGCCACCACAGAAGGCCTGGCCACTTTCAAGGTCTCAGACGACCAAGGCCTTGCCCGGAATGGTAGGACCACTTCCCTGTCTTTCCCGCCAGGGCCACCTGTGCCTCCCCTCCCCCCACGCTGGCAGAAGCCACCACCAGGGGTCAAGCTCACCCTCAAGTTACCAAGGGGGCAAAACTGACGTGTAGCTCCCCTGCCCACTCCCCCTCCTCAAATGGAAACACGGGAGCCAGAGGTGCCATTGTGAGCCGGGGCTGAAGGACAGGCCGATTCTCTCAGCGGGCAGCCTGCCAGGCGGCACCATCAGCCCCCTTGCTCTGAGGGTGGCAAAGGGCATTCATTAGTGGAGGGGGCGGGGGCTGTGCTCCCGCAGGAGGGGGCTGGGGTGACAGGGGAGTGGGAGGGGCCATTCACAAAAGCCAGCACCAGCAACTCCCAAGGGTATTTTTTGAGAACTTCCCTCCCCTCCTCCTGCGCGGCGCCCCTCCCCCACCCCAGCCGCTGGTGGCCTGCAGCCAACACTGGCCACACTGTCCCATTCAGGCCTCGGCCCTCGGGCCTCTGTCTCTGCCTCGGCCTCCCAGCGCTGCTGTCCCCTCCAATCTGAACTGCCATGACCTCTTCCGCTCTGGAAGGCTCGACCTCCACCCGGGGGGACAAACCTTGCCCACCGAGGCCTTGGAAGTCGGCGCCCCAGGCTCCCCACGGGGGACACTGTCCACTCTGTAGAAAGGGAGCTGCCACAGGCCAGGGGCTCCCCGGCTGCACCCTGAGCTCTGCGTCTCCCAGCGTCCCCAGCGTGGCCACCCACAGAGGGAGGACTGAGATGGGGCTGCCCCCCTCCTACCAAGGGAGAGGGGGACCTCGGAGGAAGCACCCCGCCCGCTCCCCTCCAGTCTGGGCCCAGTGGTTTCCGGGGAGAGCGCCAGGCGGTGGCTTCCTCCGTGAGGCGGGGCCAGGGACGCTGGAGGATGAGGGTCCCCTCCCTGCTCAACCTGCCCTGCCAGGCAGGGATTACCAGGGAGGCACACCCCTGTGAGGCCAGGGGGGAAGGGCAAAGGTCAGCAGCCGGCCTGTGGGTACGCTGCAGGGGTTGGGGGGCCACCTCTGCCCACTTCCTCCAGCTTCTGGATCCCAGGGTGGCCTCTGCTGGGGGCGACCCTGTCCTGAAGCCAAGGCAGGAATTCCTTCCCCCCCTGCTGTCCAGGCCCAGGCCCGTGCACTTGGCTTTGCAAAGGGTTAGCGCAGGCAGAAGGGCTTTCAGCTCACCTCCCCCAACCTCCGCGGTCCCCTCTGCGCTCAGACGGGACACATGCACCTTAGACATCGCCATTTAATATTTACATTCAAGCAGGTAATAATTGGAAGCTTATAGTTTAGACATTTCTAAGTAGCAGCAGTTTCTAGAGCGCTTGGTTAGCCTTTTAACAAACTTTTTTTTTCTTTTTTGCACATAGAAACGACACCATCCATGTGTACAGTATCAAAAAATATAGACCAAAGTTACTGGGGTCGCAGGGGGGGAAGAGAGAGGAAGTGAAATCAACCAAAATACTGGGGGGGTGGGGGGGGTGGTTAGGGCAACAAAAAATAGTTGGTCTGTTATAGAATATAACATGATCTAGAGGGAGCTCCATAAATCTAGGCTTTATATTTCAATATATAAATACCTACAAATAAATATATAT